TATCGACACTGACTGTACCGACACTGACTGTACCGACACTGACCGTACCGACACTGACCGTACCGACACTGACCGTACCGACACTGACCGTACCGACACTGACTGTACCGACACTGACTGTACCGACACTGACCGTACTGACACTGACTGTACTGACACTGACTGTACTGACACTGACTGTACTGACACTGACTGTACTGACACTGACTGTACTGACACTGACCGTACTGACACTGACCACACTGACACTGACCACACTGACACTACACTAAGTCGACACTGATCGTACTGACACTACACTAAGTGGCACTAGTGGAAAAGGGGCATAGATGGTCAAAATGTGTTGGGTGTAATCCCAGCATACTGGTGTTTCAATAAGCAACAACACACACCTGTACCTGTCCTCTCCACACACACAGAGGTATGAAGGTGATTGAAAACCGAGCTCTGAAGGATGAGGAGAAGATGGAGCTACAAGAAGTTCAGCTGAGGGAGGCCAAGCTGATCGCTGAGGAGGCTGATCGCAAATATGAGGAGGTATTCTTTAGCCACACCCACTCTGACATCACACACTGACCACACCCACTCTGACATCACACACTGTCAACAACACATGGCCTGAGCAGATGTTTGATTGACAGGTGGCTCGTAAACTGGTGATGGTGGAAGGAGAGCTGGAACGAGCTGAAGAGAGAGCGGAGCAGGCTGACAGGTTACAGCATGACCTCTGACCTTTACCTGCTGCTTCAGGCTCTAAATGATACTGACCACTTTCTGACTTGACCTCTGACCTGCAGAAAGTGTCGGCTGATGGATGAAGAGCTGAAAACAGTGTTTGCTGGAGCCAAGAGTCTGGAGGCGCAGGCTGAGAAGGTATGTGGTGGGCGGCGGGGTCCAAGAACAGTTGATGAAACAAAATAATTTAGATAAATAATCTGATGTTTTACCTAACCTCAGTTAGCCCAAGCTAACCTAAGCTAACCCAAGCTGTTCATGATCAACACTAACCAATCCAAGTCCAGCTGGGATCAGACCAGTGTTTTACTGGTGAACAGTCAGAGGTTTCAGGTTTTCTGTGGAACATTTTCCTGTCAGGAAATAAGTCAGTTTCTGGTTCTAGCTGAGGGTCAGGTTAACTGATCAGTTCTGGTGAACACCTGAGCTTAGCACCAGCTGTGTTTCCATTACAAATGTGCACAAAACTTTGTTGATATTCTGTTAATGTTGAAAAAACACAGTTTCACAACTGCAGTGTTTCCATTAAGTAATAAATGTTCTTAAAGTCATGTGAACACGTTTGTTCTCATGATAAGTCATTACAAACATGGCAGCGATGGATGTAAACACATAGCATG